ATAAAATTCTGCAAAGTAGAATACGGGGCACATAATGTTCTAGATCACAGTGGCTTTGGAAGACTGCTTAAATTCTTTTTTTTTTTTTTTCAATTTCAGAATATTATGGGGGTACAAATGTTTTGGTTACATGAATGGGCCCTGTGCCATTGAGTCAAAGTTGTAAGTGTGCCCGTGCCCAAGATAGCATGTACTGTATCTGTTAGCGTGTGAATTTACCCTTCCTCTTCTCCCCCTTCCTCCAGCTTGGTTTTTGCTGAGTTTTACTATCGTGTGTGCTCATGAATGTTGATTGATTAGTTCCAATTTAATGGTGGGTGCATGTGTGTTTGTTTTCCTTCTTGGATACTTCACTTAGTAGAATGGGCTCCAGCTCCATCCAGGATAATACAAGAGGTGCTGTTCACCCATGATTTTTAGGCTGTGTAATATTCTATGGTATATACATATACCGAGCATTTTATTAATCCATATGTATCAATGGGCACCAGGGTTTCCCGCATCTTTGCAATTGTGAATTGTGCTGCTATAAACATTCGAGTGCAAGTGTCTTTTCGTTTGTTTTTTTTTAATAAATTCTTTTCTTTTTTTTTTTGAGACAGAGTCTCACTCTGTTGCCCAGGCCAGAGTGCTGTGGCATCAGCCTAGCTCACAGCAACCTCCAACTCCTGGGTTCAAGCAATCCTCCTGCCTCAGCCTCCCGAGTAGCTGGGACTACAGGCATGCGCCACCATGTCCGGCTCATTTTTTCTATGTATTTTAGTGGCCATTAATTTCTTTCTATTTTAGTAGAGACGAGGTCTCTCTCTGCTCAGGCTGGTCCAACTCCTGACCTTTGAGCGATCCTCCCACCTCGGCCTCCCAGAGTGCTAGGATGACAGGAATGAGCCACCGCGCCCGGCCTTCTTTTTATAAATTCTTAACCCCACATCTCAGCGCATGAAATGGCAAGGACATCGCTCTACTTTCTCTGTGGTTGGGTTGATTTTTATCTAAATCTGATAATGAAAATGGTGTAGAGATGGTAAACAGGACCGGTCGTGTTCCAATAGTAATAGTAAAAATGCAAAAACGATTCTGATCTCGGGTGTATGTTTTTCTTCAACAGGAAATTATCTCATTCCAAGCTCGTTCAGCTTTACGGGGTGTGTACCCAGCGGAGGCCCCTTTACATAGTGACGGAGTTTTTGGAAAACGGCTGCCTGCTCAACTACCTCAGGGAGAGGAAAGGAAAGCTGAGGAAGGAGACGTTATTGAGTATGTGCCAGGACATATGTGAAGGAATGGAGTTTCTGGAGAGAAACTGCTACATTCATAGGGATTTAGTAAGTATGGTGCAAATTCACTTACTATTTTCCGCCCTGCAGCTCTATCCAGAAGGATGTGACAATTGCTTTCAATATTTTGCATAAAATATCCTTTGGCTTAATGTTTAAACGTGCTCCTATTCATGCAATTTGTTGTGGAATGTGACTTTTATTTTTAATGGCCCGTTTTAATGCTGTAGCCAAGTAAGGTTTTATTCTAAAAATGCGTTGAACTAACTCACCAGCTAACCAATCAATTCACTGACACTGATTTACTTTCTTTTCCTCTTCTCCTTCCCTCCCTGCTTCCTTCTCCTTTTTTTTTTTTTACCTTGAGACAGTCTCACTCTGTTGCCCAGGCTAGAGTGCTCTATCTGTTATCTAGGCTTCTGCTGTTTTTTAACCCAGATGTTCCCTAAATCCTCAGTTCCTTTTTTTTTTTGAGACAGAGTCTCACTCTGTTGCCCAGGCTAGAGGAGAGAAAGAAATTAATTGGCCAACTGATATATATGGGAAAAATTGGCAGGGCATGGTGGCGCATGCCTGTGGTCCCAGCTACTCGGGAGGCTGAGGCGGCAGGATTGCTCGAGCCCGGGAGTTTGAGGTTGCTGTGAGCTAGGCTGACGCCACCACGGCACTCACTCTAGCCTGGGCAACAAAGCGAGACTCTGTCTCAAAAAAAAAAAAAACAAAAAACAAAAAACAAAAACAAAAACAAAAACAAAAAAAAAACAAAAACGAAAAGACACTTACACTCAAATGTTTATAGCAGCACAATTCACAATTGCAAAGATGTGGAAACAACCCTGGTGCCCATTGATACATGAGTGGATTAATAAAATGCGGTATATGCATATACCATGGAATATTACACAGCCATAAAAATCATGGTGAACTAGCCACCTCTTGTATTATCCTGGATGGAGCTGGAGCCCATACTACTAAGTGAAGTATCCCAAGAATGGAAAACCAAACACCACATGCACTCACCATTAAATTGGAACTAATCAATCAACACTCATGAGCACACATGATAGTAAACCTCAGCAAAAACCAAGCTGGAGGAAGGGGGGAGAAGAGGAAGGGTAAATTCACACCTAACAGATACAGTACATGCTATCTTGGTGACGGGCACACTTACAACTTCGACTCAAATGGCACAGGGGCCCATTCATGTAACCAAAACATTTGTACCCCCATAATATTCTGAAATTAAAAAAAAAAAAAAAAAGAATTTAAGCAGTACTTCCAAAGCCACTGTGGATCTAGAACATTATGTGCCCCGTATTCTACTTGTCAGAATTTTATTTTTCTCCCCTTCACTTTGGAAGCCTTTGGTTTGCTCTTTACTATTTCTCCCTGCCCAGTCTCATAGACTTCCTTCATGTTCCTTGAATGCAAACTTTCCTAACTGCAGCTGTGCAGATAAAAAAAAACAAAAACACCTCCAGACAGACAGGAGGGAGAAAAGAGTGATTTATGCACATAAAAAAATGAAAATGAAATTCTAAAGAACAAAGCCATTAGAAATGAAACTTTTAGATTAAGTTGGAGACTAAAAAACACTTATCAACATGAAACCTTGCATTGTGTCTTTTTTTTTTTTTAGACAAAGAACAAGTTTCCAACTTGCTTTGTGTTTGGTAATCAAGCACACACACACACACGAAAAGTCCTTGAATTTTGCCTACTAAAACACACCCAGAACTTTCCAATCATCTAGACTTGAAAAGCTTATTGTTTCTTCTGGGGAATAGAATATTCAATCTCGAAAGGCCTTTTATGCCAACTTGTCATCATGAAATATAATATTCAAATTAAGGGCTGGAATTTTAGAAGATGTATAATAAGCCAATTCTCTGTTAGTAAAATTTTTCAAAGCACCTCGAAAAGTTACCTCTTCTCCTTTTCATTCTTAAAGGTAAAATAAAATTAGAGACTCGGGAAGATTATTTCTAATACCTTAATGTGTAGGAGTGATTACTGACACATTCCCATAAAATTAGTTTTTGAAAACACTCCAGTTCATGGAGGAAGAGAGGCATTCAAAAACCTAAACATGATTTTAATTTGAAGATATATATATATATATATTCATATATATTTTGTCTGATTTACCTTTCAAATTCATAAAGTGTACTTTCAGTTAAGGGATGCACTTTCTTTTTTATTATTATTTTATTGTATTTTGTTTTTTTGAGTCAGAGTCTCACTCTGTTGCCCAGGCTAGAGTGCCATGGCGTCAGCCTAGCTCACAGCAACCTCCAACTCCTGGGCTCAAGCGATCCTCCTGCCTCAGCCTCCCGAGTGGCTGGGACTACAGGCATGCGCCACCATGCCCGGCTATTTTTTTTCTATATATATTAGTTGGCCAATTAATTTCTATTTATAGTAGAGATGGGGTCTTGCTCTTGCTCAGGCTGGTCTCGAACTCCTGACCTTGAGCAATCCGCCCGCCTCAGCCTCCCAGAGTGCTAGGATTACATAAACGTGAATTTTTAAATGAATTCTCAGACCCCTTTGCAGGCTTCTCCAGTTCTCCTTTGCTAATTATTCTCTTTCCTAAGTGATTGCATCAAGTTTCAGGGTTTTAAATATCATCTCTGATGATCACTTGCAAATTAATACTCTCCATACTGACCTTGCTCCTGAACCCTAGACCCATATATTTGCCTGAACTCTTGGTCACACTTGGCTTTCTAATAATAGGCCTCTCCAATCCAACATGCCCAGAGCAGAATTCCTGATTTTTTTCCCCTGAACCTATTTAGTCTTCTGCCAGTTGAAAAACCAGTGCCAACCTCTGCCTGACAGTATATACCCAAACCTCGGCGTGTCATCTTGTCTCCTCTAGTGTCCTTCCCCTACCTGCCACATTCAATTTATCATCAAGTCTTTTTTTTTTTTTTCCCTTGGGTTGCCCAGGCTAGAGTACCGTGACATCAGCCTCGCTCACAGCAGCCTCCAACTCCTGGGCTCAAGCGATCCTCCCGATCATACCTGCCTCCAGCCCTCCGAGTAAGCTTGGGACTACACAGGCATTGTGCCACCTGACATACCCCGGCTAATTTTTTCTAATATATTTTTAGTTGGCCAATTAGTTTATTTCTGAGTTTCATAGTAGAGACAGGGGTCTCACTCTTTGGCGTCAGGCCCTGGTCTCGGAACCCTGAAGCTCAAGGCAATCCCTCCCGCCTCGGCCCCCCCCGGAGTGCTAGGATGACAGGCGTGAGCGCACCGCGCCGACGCCAACACCCCATTATTGACGGCTGAAAAGGGACACATGCGCTTGTCAACTTTCATACGAGTTGAATTCCTGAGCCGCGAATGAGTGAATTCAACTCTATGAAAGCTGACAAGCATTGTGTGTCGGCTTTTTCAGCTCAATAATGGGTGTGGCCCCCCGCCGCCCGCGGTGGCCTCACGCCTGTCATCCCTACGCACTCCGGGGGCCCCGCCGGCGGGAGGATTGCTGCGCTGCAGGAGTTCGAGACCAGCCTGAGCAAGAGTGAGCA